CTCTTCCCCCTTTCTCTCTCTCCCCCTCTTTCCCTCTCTCTTTCCCTCTTTTTCCCTCTTTCTCTTCCCCCCCCTCTCTCTTTCTCTCTTCCCCCCTCTCTGTCCCTTCCCTCTCATTCTAAAGCCAGGAGACCCACCTGAAACACACAAACAGAGAAACAGACCCAGACCCATAACCCCCCCCCCCCCCCCACACACACACTTCCAACATTGCTCTTTAACTTACGTTCTTCCCAGCCAGTCTCCTAGAGTCCCAGAAACCAGGTGCAATTGTTTGTTCGCACCTGGTCTCATGTTGCCTGGAAAAGCTGGCAGGCAAGGCTACTGGGTCCAACAAAGGGGGTGGGACTTCCTCCCCTCCCTCAAGCACCCACCACACTGATACCCCGAAAGTTCAAACTTATCTTCCTCTCACAGCTGGTGGCAGAGGGAAAACTGAGTCAGTCAGGGAAGAGTCATCACCAGCCCACATCTCGTCCCCTGCTCCTATTCTCCACAGCTGCAGGGCTCGCGGCTGCTGGCCGGGGAGGGGGGTGCAACCAGGAAGCACGTCTCCACCTGCATTGTCCCTCTGGCAGCCATGGCACCCCTCTCTCACCTGGCCGAGCATTTTAACCGAGTGCGGGCCACCAAGGAAGATCTGCTCTCACGAGGCTTGACTTTCTCACAGAATGCAACCCGCATTCAGCTAAAGTACACAGGCCGGCATGTGGCAGAGGGAAGGGGCAGCAGGCAAAGGGGCTCCCTGGTCACCTACTCCCATCCCTAGCAGATAAGACCAAGCAGCTGCAGAGAATTGAGGCAGGGAGGCAAGAGATGAAGGCTGGTGGGGACCCGAGTGGCAAAGGGTCAGGCCTGGCTCACCTTCCTCTGCTAACAGTGAGCCAGGTAAGCTGGAGGCTAGAGACAGTTGGGGTGAATCTTGCTAGGCCATGAGAGCCGCATGGGCAGCGGCCCCTGAGGCTAAGCAAGCTAAGCGAGTACAGGGGGGGAACCTTGCTTACTCACCTAGGGAGATCATGGTGGAAGGCAGACAGCGATAGTGGGCGGGTGAAGGCAGACTGCAGGCAGTGATGGTGCATGGCCGAGAAAATGAGGGGAGGCAGGTGGGGTTAGAATACAGTCAATGTGATGTTGCGCATGCACAATAAAGACTGTCTGGGCAGGGAGCGGAGAAGCAGTCGGAGAGGGGCAGGGCCAGCCAGGGGCCAATTTTACCGGTTCTCCGAACTACCGGGTATGGTAGCAACTGATTCTACCAAACTGGTCCGAACCGGTAGAATCCCACCCCTGCCTTTCTCTCCTATCCTGCAACAGTTTCATTTTAATTCTAGCTTTTTTCCCAGCCCAAAAAAATTTAGTTAGTGTTTTATCCAATTCCCCAAAGTATTTTTTGTCCAGTTTTACCTGTATGGTTTGGAATAGATATAGTATTTTTGGTAAGATAGACATTTTGACTGCTGCAATTCTTCCCATTAATGAAATTTGAAGCCTCCCCCATATTTCCAATGTAAGGCATCCAGAAAATATCCATGATATCAATCACTCCGAGACATTTTATCTCCAACTGATTTATTTAGAAACAGATCTGGTATGTCTAAAGCAATTTCCCAAAGTGAAATATTTTTGCACATTACACAGAATCCACCTTCTCTCCTCCCTTCTCTCCTCCCACTTCTACACTTCATAAATCACAAGAACCAATTAACTGCAACTGGAAGTTCTTAATACGACATACAGAATAACCTTGAACTTTTCAACTCCTCCAACCCCCTTCAAAAAAAATGTGGCAGCTGAATTTAAAAGCTGACAGGCGTCCCCCCTTGAAAACTCCTCCTCCTAAAAGAAAAGAAAAAAACACATACAGGGGTTAATACATTGTCCTTAACCCCCTCTCCCCGCTCCACGAGGACCCTTCAGTTAGTGGGGAAAATCCTCATGGCATTGGTTAACCAATTGATCAGCATGAACATCCCAACTCTTTACCCAACTAGCATCTGGGAGGGCATATCCCTTCCATAAGACCAAATATTGCAGTCAGCCATGATGTAATCTAGAATCAAGAATTTTTTGAATTTCATAATGTATTTCCCTCTGTACCATTAACAGTTTAGGGGGGACGATTGGCAATGGTCTTATCATTGATGTAGTAGCTGGTTTTAGCAAACTACAATGGAACACTGGATGAATTTTCCCCAATAGTCGAGGAAGACTTAATTGGAGTGACCGGATTGATTATCTTTGAAATTGGAAATGGATCCAAGAATTTTGGACCCAGCTTCTTATTGGGCAGTTTCAACCTAAGAGACTTGGTTGACAAATATACTTTGTCCCCTACTTTAAAAGGCGGTTGAAGGGATCTATGTTTATCCGCCTGTTTTTTATAATTTTTGTAGCTTTGGCCGTTTTCAATTCTGCAGTCAGCTTATCTTCCAGGCATTTGGGGTTGCGGTTGGCTTGGGCTCGAGTGGTCACTTGGCCTGCCGATTGAGTGTCTGAAATTAAGGCTTGTAGTATTTCCTCTCGGTGGCTGTCAAACTGAGGTTTTCTGGGCAGATCATCCGCCAGTATGTTTTTCCCTCTGGGGATATTTAATGTTGATGTTGAATCACTGGAAATATTGGGCCCAGCGGACTTGTTTGGGTGATAATCTCCTAGGGGTCTTTAGAGCCTCAAGGTTCTTATGATCAGTCCATACCTCAAAGGCCTCTGGTGCCTTCTAGAAAATGCCTCCAAGTCAATAAAGCCCATTGTACAGCAAATGCTTCTTTCTCCCAGACCACCCACCTTCACTCTATGTCTGTCAGCTTTTTGGACATATAAGTGCAAGGCATCAATCGGCCTTGAGAGTCTTTTTGCAGCAAAACAATAGCCACCACTACATCACTTGCATCTGTTTGGACAATAAAAGGCTTGGTCACGTCTGGTTGCTGGAGGATGGGCTCAGCTGCGAAGAGGCATTTTAAGGTCTTGAAAGCTTTCTGACAGTCCATAGTCCAAGCCAGGGGTTGACTCAGCTTTGGTTTGGTGGATGATGGGTTCGTTTTTAATAGCTCTGTCAACGGGAGGGCAGACCCAGTAGTAAGCTTCCCTGAGATCTAGCTTGGTGAATACCTTGCCCTTTGACAGGTGGTTCAATAAGTCCTTCATAAGGGGAAGAGGACACGTTTTTTATGCATACAGCGTTCACGCCTCTAAAGTCAACACACAATCTCAACCTGCCATCTTTCTTCTCCTGGAACAACACGGGGGCAGCTAATCTTGATTTGGCAGGCTCAATAAAACCTTGTTCCAAATTGCAGTCGATGTATTTCCTTAATTCAGTCATTTCAGTAGGCATCATGGAATACATCTTTGGTTTTGGTAATTTCGCCCTGGGCTCTAATTCTATGGTGCAATCAGTGGCTCGATGGGGAGGTAAAACATTACACTCTTCTTCACTGAATGCTTAAGTGAAGTCTTTGTATTGGTCGGGTACCTGGGGGTTAACTGTGAGAAGGTGGGATGCCATGGATGCTGGCTCTGGCTCTGGGTTCAAGTTGACCAGTGGCCTTGTAGTGGGTGGAAGAGGGGGCAATGGGTCCGGTCCAATGAGGATATTTCTGAATCCATCCTCCCATTTGATCGTCGAGGCCCATTGTGTCTAGCCAAGCAAGTCCCAGTATGATTGATTCTGACATCTTGGGGGCCACTATGAAGCATATGAGTTTGCGATGGGGCCCTAATTCAATCTTGATCAATTCTGTCATTTGAGTGGCTGTCCCAATTAAGGTTCCATCCACTTGCTCAAATCTGATTGGGCGTTTTAGCGGGTTAGTCTTTATGCCCAATTGTTCAATGATGGGGAGTGCGATGACATCTAGAACACCTAGTATCAATGATAGCTTCTAACTCCCCGGCCTCCCCTCTGTTTGGTTCCACTAATTTGACCTAATTTGATGCTTTTCTGGCTTCCTCCAAATGGCATTTGTATAGCCTCCTCATTCATGATACTTGGGTAAGTGAATATGGATGGGTGGTCTCAAGTTTCCACCCATCAAAACAGACTGTGAGAGCAAACCTGTCACCTTTAAATTCTGGAACTGTTGATGTAAATCTGCCCTTGATGGACTTCCAGGATAAATCTGGGGGGTGCCTTCTTGAGAGAATTCTGACCCCAATTGTCTATCTTCCCTCCAATCTGACAGAATAGCAATATGCCTGGGACTAGAGAAAGATTTCTCTTCAGACTGCTGGGTTACATCTGGGTTATAACAACTTCTTGAGTTGAAACGCTTTGGTATAGCTCCCAAATCTCTTTCTTCTACTGCCATTATGAAAGCATCCATCATCTCCTCCAAACAAGGGCTGGCAGATTCAGTTAATGTTCCGAAGGGAGGCCCCCCAACACTACCCCCTGCACATCTCCAACTTTGGCTGATTGTTGATCTTTCTCCATCTCTGGGAAAAGAACTCCAGGGTATCAGTCAAGCCCCTTCAAAAAATAAAAGTAAACTTTGGGAAATAAATGTAAGGCATCCAGAAAGTATCCATGATATCAATCACTCTGATACATTTTCTCTCCAACTGATTTATTTAGAAACAGATCTGGTATGTCTAAAGCAATTTCCCAAAGTGAAATATTTTTGTGAGTTACACAGAATCCACCTTCTCTCCTCCCACTTCTACACTTCATAAATCACGAGAACCAATTAACTGCAACTGGAATTTCTTAACATGACATACAGAATAACCTTGAACTTTTCAATTCCTCCAACCCCCTTCAAAAAAATGTGGCAGCTGAATTTCAAAGCTGACATCCAATTCCTTTTTTATTTGTGTCATTAATTTGTTATAATTATTTTCCTTAACTGATGAACACCTTGATGTTAGCCAATTATCAAGGTATTTTACCTTTTTAACAATTTGCATTCCCAATTTTCCTTCTAGTTCCCTTTTTTGCTTATCCATCATATTCTTAATTAATACCTTCATTTTATTTTTATTTATTTTAAATCCTGCAACATTACCAAATTCTTCAACTTCTCTTATTAGTCATTCCTGTTTCTAGTTCCTCTAAAAAAATACTATATCATTGGCAAATGCTTGTACTTTATATTCCTCTTTTCTAATTGTAACCCCTTTAATTTCTTTGTTTCTTCTATTGTTCATCAATAAATTTTCTAATGTGAGGATAAAGAGTGGGGTGACAATGGACATCCCTGTCTTACTCCTTTAGGGATAGCAGTATCTCCGTCATCTCAATCCATGGACAGGGGCAATGAAATAACTACCAGTTTCTATCCTTACAGAAACAAACACAAGCATTCTTGGAAGGCAGTGCGAGGTGGGATTCCTTTAAGTGACCAGAAACATCCATTCCAGATGGAAGAATTTATGCTGCTTATAAATTCCCCTGGAAGATGATTAAATCTGAGAGGGTTCATTCTAGGTTTTGATGATTCCGTGAAGCCACTGTCCTTGTCAAAGAGAACCAAATAGTCAAACTGTTACCTGGAATTGTAGGATTCATTGTTAGCTTTTTAATA